AGCCCTCACCAGTTCCAAATGTGGAAGAGGTGACATTGCCCAAAACAGGTAGGGGCCAGGCCACCCTCCCGGGACCCAGCCCACACCTTGTCCTGCTCCTACCGTGTCAAACCCCCCAAGTGAACTGATTTCCCAGCCCCAGATTTGGTGGAGATTTGCCTTCAATGTACCCGGGTATTGACACTGTTTTCGTCACCGTCACAACCTTCTGCCTTCATGTCCATATCTGAATTGGGGACTATGCTTTGCAGTGGATGGCTGTTGTCTCCAAGGTTTTTGTTTGTTTTTAAATTGAAGTTACATTAGTTTATACCATTATATAGGTTTCAGGTAGACCGCCTTATAAATCAATACTTCCATATCCAATCTCTCTCTTTTTTTTTAAAGATTTATTCATTTATGCGTGTAAGAGCTGGGGTGCAGGCCAGAGGTGTGGGCAGGGAGGATTGGTAAGAGGAATCAGAGTGGGGAGCAGAACAGGCTGATCTACTGAAATTCACTGCTGAGGGGAGCAGCGGGGAGACAGGAGAGGTCTGCTGTGCCCCAGGCTCCCTGCCTGGGAATCGAACTTGTGCTGCAATGGCTGTGAATAGCTTCACAGTGCTAAGACTTTTAACCCCTTGCGCCACCAGGGAGGCCCTCCAAACTCTTTTTGATTATGTATTCCCATCAAATATTTGACAACAAATTATATTATGTGTACTATTAAATCACTACTTTTGGATCATTATAAAACACAAATATTATCTAAAATGTGGCAAGGATAAAATGGAAAAACAAAGAGAGGCCCTGATACCCTGTGCCTCTACCCGGAGGACTGTCTTTTCCACCTGGCGTGAGAGCCCCACTTTGGAGACCAGTGCTCTGCAATACTGGTCTGTGTTCCACAGACTTGCTGCAATACACAGCCTGTGTTCCACAGACTTGCTGCAAGTATTATTCAGGGTTGTATCTTATGGGTGGGGTTGTCGGGAGCCATTGAGAGAGAGTCAGTGTGGCTTCCACCTCCTCATCAATCAAAACTGCTCTTGTTTCTAGCTGAATTTTCTCCCAAGCTTCTGTGTATAAATTCAGTTGAAGAAATTCATCTGCTTTCAAAATGTTTGTAAGATCCAGCCACTCCTCTACAGAGTGAACTAGTCATTCTTCCTCTGTCCATTAAGAACTTACAGATATGGGGCCTCCCTGGTGGCTCAAGGGGTTAAGTCTCAGCACTATGAAGCTATCTGCAGCCACTGCAGCACGAGTTCGATCCCCAGCCAAGGAGCTACCCACTTTGTGCAGCAGACTTCTCCTGCCTCTCCCGCTGCTCCTCTCAGCAGTGTATTTCAGTAGATTCACTTGTTTTGTTCCTCACTTTATCTGTGGTGAATCCTCTTTCCTCCCCCTACCTCTGGCCTACACCCCAGCTCTTGAATGCATAAATTAATGGATCTTTAAAAAAAAGAGGGGGCCTCCCTGGTGGCACAGGGGGTTAAGACACAACCTATGATGCTATCCACAGCCACTGTAGCACGAGTTCGATCCCTGGCCAGGGAGCTACCCACATGGTGCAGCAGACCTCTCCTCTCTCCTGCTGCTCCCCTCAGCAGTGTATTTCAGTCAGTCTGCCTGTTCTGTTCCCTACTCTGTCTTCAGTGAAGCCTCTCACCCCCACACCTCTGGCCTGTACCCCAGTTCTTGTATGCAAAATAAGTAAATCTTTAAAAAAAAAAAAAAAAGAACTTAGAGATAGTAGTATAAGGAAAGGAAAATGCTTCTTTATAGGAGGAGTAAAATTAAATGACTTTTTGGTTGTCAAAAGGGGGAAAGTAGCAAGTGAGTTTTAAGCCCTGGGAGGATTGTGACTAGAGGAAGTTACGCATTTCTGTCACCAGATGGAGAAAGTTTTGTAGAAAGTGAGCTCTCTAGAACTGTTGACAGTGGTGATGTGAGAACTTGATTTTGGCAGAAGCTGTCTGATAAAATGACTTTTCTCTGGCAGTCAACACTAAGAAGGACTCAGAGTCAGCCCCGGTCAAAGGAGGCACCATGACTGACCTGGGTAAGACGGGGAGCCTTGGGCAAGGTCAGCAGAGCCCCAGCAGGGGATTCAGCTGCGCTTTTCCCTCCAAAGACTCTATTTTGTTGTGTTTACTTTCAGATGAACAGGAGGATGAAAGCATGGAGACCACGGGCAAGGTAGAGCCAGTTTAGAGAGGCCTCCCTCTCTACGTGATTCTGATTTGTGATTATAAAGTGCCCCCGCCAGGGCTGCTATTACCCAGGCCTTTCCCACCCGAGGCTAATTCTAGCTGTTGCTCAGAACTCTGACCCTTTTAGATCGGGGGCCCTGTTCATTCCCGTGCCCACCTTTAGTGGCCGCATTTCTGGGGTTTAGGAGAAACAGAGGGTTGCTAAGGGCAAAATGGGAATGCTGGGTGTCCAGTAGCCTCTGTACTCTTAGGATGAGGATGAGAACAGTACGGGGAACAAGGGGGAGCAGACCAAGAATCCAGACCTGCATGAGGACAATGTGACCGAGCAGACCCACCACATCATCATCCCCAGCTATGCTGCCTGGTTTGACTATAATAGGTACTGTGGCTTTAACTCCTCACTGAATCCTTGCTTTCATGCCTTGGGTAGGGGGTGAGCGTGTCAGTGTGTGGCCCCTCTTCCTGCCTCCAGGTGAGTTTGCTTCTCCTTCAGCCCTAAAGACCAGGGCACGCTGCAGTTTAGGAGAACTCCTGGTCGCTAAGTCTTCCAGCCCTAGCGGGCTTCTCCCCAAGTGCCTTCCCTCCTGCAGTCTCCACCTAGTTAACCTCCCCCTAGGTTCTTCCTTTTCTGGCCTTCCCATCTCTCCACTGGCTCCTCTGAGTCCACGTTGGCTTTTTTTGCAGTGTTCATGCCATTGAGCGGCGGGCTCTCCCCGAGTTCTTCAACGGCAAGAACAAGTCCAAGACTCCGGAAATGTAAGGCTCTCAGCGGCGGTTCCCTCTCTCCCTCCTGTCCCTGTTCACCCTTCCCGATCTAGCAGCATTCAGCAGCTGAATTCTTGAGCTACTGCTGTGGGCCAAGCACTGTCCTCAGCTTACAAGAGACACGATCTCTTCCCACGGGCAGCACTGTGACCGCAGTAGCATGCTCTCTGGGATTCACCCAGGGGTGGTACTAAGCATGTTCTTCTGTACAAAGGTACCTGCGCCAGCGTCTCCAATCTCTTATTAGGGCGCAGAACTCTGTAATCTGTGATTGTCCATGTTGTCCCAAATGCAGATATCCCTCGCGTAAATGTTAGCTTTGAAAAGAATATAAAATAATTTTACCAGGCTGGTTCCTAGAGTAGGTAATGACAGGAAATAGGAGCGAAGGGACTGCGAAGACCCCAGGCAGTGAGGGGGTACGGAGAGGACGCTCTGGGAGAGCAGAGTTACGTGAAATGCAGCTTTAAGGCTCAGAAGCTGTCCTCACCACCTCTCGTCCGGGGTATTCCCTCAGGCTAAGCCTACTCCCCTTGGACAAGGTTTGGTGATGTGTGGTTCAGATCCATGGGGTGGCGAGGAGGCTGAGACTTAGTGCCGCGCCGTGGCTCCTGCTAAGCACTGAATGGCCTCTCTCCCGGCTGCCTCACTTCCTCTCCTTGGGGTCACCCTCCTTTCCCGCCCAGTTTCTTTCCTTGTGTCTCATACCGTTTGCGCCTCTTGCTTGGCCAAGCAGGGTGTGTGAGAGAGAGGAGTAGTGAACAGACAATATGAATTCTACTTGAGATGTGGGCAGGGTGAGACGTGGACAGGGTTAGAACTAGAATGCATGCTTTGCAGTACGTCTCCCAAGCACTAGGTGCCCTGTCTGGAGAACTAATCCTCACATCCACTTTCCAGGTAGTTTCCTTATATCAGTTTGCTGATTAGGAAATTGAATTAGGATCAGTCACTTGCTTAAGGTCACACAGCTACTAAACAGTAAACTTTGCATCTGAAACCTTTTTCTAGCTCATGTTCATAAACTTTACACTATTTCGCACAACAACTACCATTTTTTGAGCATCTACAATATCTCTGACACTAGTAGGTCTTCCCAGACCTTTCTAATCCTCAACAGATACTCCGTTTTACAGATGAGAAAACAGAGTTTCAAAAATTTAAGTAACTTGGGCTTCCCTGGTGGTGCAAGGGGTTAAGACGCAACCTATGAAGCCATCCGCAGCCACTGCAGCGTGAGTTTGATCCCCGGCAGGGAGCAACCCACATGGCACAGCAGACCTCTCCTGACTCGCCCGCTGCTCCCCTCAGCAGTGTATTTCACTCAATCTGCCTGTTCTGTTCCCTGCTCGGTCTCTGGTGAATCCTCTCACCCCCCGCGTCTGTACCCCAGTTCTTGTATGCATAATAAATAAGTCTTTTTTTAAAAAAATTAAGTAACTTGCTGATATGAACTTAGATTTCTTTTTTTTAAGAATTGCTAATTCTTTTTTTTTTTTTTTTTTTAAGATTTATTTATTTATACAAGCACTGGGTACAGTCAGAAGCGCGGGAGGGCGAGAGAATTCACCAGAGCCAGAGCGGGGAGCAGAGCAGGCAGAAGGACCGAAGCACACTGCTGAGGGGAGCAGCGGGCGGCAGGAGAGGTCTGCGCGCCATGTGGGACCCTCCTCCGGTGGCCGGGGAGCAGCTGGGGATCGAACCGGCGCCGCAGAGGCCGCGGGCAGCTTTGCAACCGCTCAACCGCTGCGCCACCGGGGAGGCCCTGAACTTAGATCTTTCTACCTTCAAAATGTTTATATTCTGTCCTGCTGGTTGGCCTCCTAGACAGGACTTCCCTTTAATTTAACATCTGATTTGGAAATAAGGGCACTTTTTCTTACATTTTGATTTTGCATTGGATGAAACATCTCCAGGTACAGTCAAAGAGGTAATTCGTTTCACTGAAAATCCATCAAGGAAATGGATTTTTGCAAAACCCATCAAGGATGCAAGGCCAAGCGCCTTGTCCAGCCTGTGGTAGACAGTGTTTGGTTAAACGAGCCATTCTTTGCTGAAGTCTTTTCTGCACAGAAGTCATTAGCACTTTATTATTTTTCCTCTTCAGCCTTCATGTCTTCAACAGACACTTACTTTTCTTCCTCTCGTTCATCTCTCTGCTAAGCTACCTGGCCTATCGAAACTTCATGATTGACACTTACCGGCTGAACCCCCAAGAGTATCTCACCTCCACCGCCTGCCGCAGGAACCTGGCAGGTGATGTCTGTGCCATCATGAGGTGGGTCTCAGCTGAGGGGAGGAGGTCCGTGAGGGTGGCTGCCCATGCGGATTACAGCAAGGAGCATAGGGGAGTGAGAAGGAAAAAGCACCTGTAGAGAAAGGCAGAGTGCAGGTTTGGCGTGTGAGTGACTGGAGGGAGTAGGAAAGGCATTCTCTCGAGTGCAGAATAAAGGAGAAAACGTGTCTGTGGTTGAGGGAGACTGGTTCAGTTTTGCTGGCTGTCCAGAGGACAGGGTTAGCAGGTGGGTGGATAGGGAGAGGTCCAAGATGGAGATGTGGCTTTGGGTGTCACTGGCCTTGGGTGTCAGTGGTGGGAGGAGATGGGATTTCATAGGGAAGGAGCAGGGGAGGAGGCCAGGGGAGAGGGCACTTTACATCCCCACCTCTGTGCCCCTCCTTCCTCCTCCCCATCTTTCTTGCTTTCCCGCATAACCCCGTCTTTGCCTTTCCTAGGGTCCATGCCTTCCTAGAGCAGTGGGGGCTCATTAACTACCAGGTGGATGCTGAGAGTCGACCAACCCCAATGGGGCCTCCCCCCACCTCCCACTTTCATGTCTTGGCGGACACGCCATCAGGGCTGGTGCCTCTGCAGCCCAAGACCCCGCAGGTAGGGTGAGGGGCTGTGGGGAAGGGATGGGTTGGGTCAAATTGGGCTTCTTTGGACTTTTCTTTTTCTGGTTTTTTAGGGTAATGTTCAGGAGTGCTTTCAGATTTCTTCCTTTTCTGTGAGATGCAAAGGGTCGTAGGAATCAGCCCCTTCTGCCTAGCACCCTCGCTCAGCCTCTGAACCTAAGACTGTGAGGACATGCTGAGGGAGGAGAGATGCTTCTTGTCCTCAGAGCGGCCAGGCTAATGTAGGGGGTGGAACAGACAGTGAAAAATGCTTAAAATTAAGTTGCATGAAATTTTTAAACTTTTATCACGTATCCAACATTTTTTCATTTTTGCTTCATAATTATTACCACTTCCATTTTTTGATTCCACCTCCATTTCATACATTAAGTTAAGAGGATTACGTGGCTTGCCCAAACTCACAGAGTGCCAGAACTAGGATTAGAGCCTACTTGTCCAGCTCCTTAAAGAGCCTGTAACGATACATGTAACACAACTGGAGATCATGCCAACTGAGGATCCAGTCATTAAGGAACCATGAAACAGTGGCATGAGTGCCCCCAGAGCTTGTGGCTCACCTGGCATTGGCCTTGAGGCCTCCACAGCCTCGGCCAGGTCATTTTCTGCCCAGCCTCCGTGACGCCAAGCTCTGTCCCCCAGGGCCGCCAGGTTGATGCTGATACCAAGGCTGGGCGAAAGGGCAAAGAGCTGGATGACCTGGTGCCAGAGACGGCTAAGGGCAAGCCAGAGCTGGTAGGTGGGATGTAGACCCCGCTGGGCTTTTTTGCCCCTTTATTGGGGGGCCCCTGCCCGGGAAGAAGAGACATGAGCACAGAGGAGCTGCAGCAATAAGGGAGGAAGTCCCACCAGGGGCGTCCCTGGCTTTGGGAAGGAAGCTCCTTCTGTCTTTCCTCTCTCTGTCCTCCCCTAACTCCCCGCGGCCACTCGTACTCACCTCTTTTTTCCCTCCACACATAGCAGACATCTGCTTCCCAGCAAATGCTCAACTTCCCTGACAAAGGCAAAGAGAAACCGACCGACATGCAGAACTTCGGGCTACGCACAGACATGTACACCAAGAAGAATGTCCCTTCCAAGGTACAGCAGGGCGGGCTGGCTTCGTTCTAGAGCCTTGCACCTCAGAGGCCCAGGCTCCTCTCTCTGACCCTCCTGTGTTTCCCATGCAGAGCAAAGCTGCAGCCAGTGCCACTCGCGAGTGGACAGAGCAGGAGACCCTGCTGCTCCTGGAGGTAATTGGGGCAAGAAAGGAGAGTTCTGTGCAAAGTAACCAGGGTGCCAACTGCAGCTCTGAGTAGGGAGAGCAGGATCTTGGCCCCCAACCTCTCCGCTTCTCACTGCCCAGCGCACCTGCCCCAGGAGACAGCTCTCAGCCAGGGATTTGGCCATTTCATTAATTCCGTATCCCTCCTCAGTGCTTCTTGGACGTTCCCCTGGGATCCAGCAGAGTATACAAACAGGACACAGACAGTTTTGAAGCCAGCTAACTTAGTAGACTAGTAGCTAAGTAAGCAAAGTTGTGTCTCCACCACCACCCAGGCACTGGAAATGTACAAAGACGACTGGAACAAAGTATCAGAGCACGTTGGAAGCCGCACCCAGGATGAGTGCATCTTGCATTTTCTTCGTCTTCCCATTGAAGACCCTTACCTAGAGGACTCAGAGGCCTCGCTGGGCCCCCTGGCCTACCAGCCTATCCCCTTCAGTCAATCAGGCAATCCTGTCATGAGCACTGTTGCCTTCCTGGCATCTGTCGTTGATCCCCGAGTTGCCTCTGCTGCCGCGAAGTCAGCCCTAGGTAATGTGGCAGGACCCTGGCCTGCTTAGTTTGTATCTCAGGGGCTTGTCACTCAGACCTTGAAGCCCCATCAAGTTTCGGTGCCCTGCTGGCCTTGCCTGCTGCTGGCTCAGCGCACTCCCTGCTGGCCCAGGTGGCGAGATGGGCTTGTGAGGATGCTTTCCCAGGGATAGCCAGAACTTGCCCACTCCCTCTCATCCTCTCTGGTCTTGCAGAAGAGTTCTCCAAAATGAAGGAAGAGGTGCCCACAGCCTTGGTGGAGGCTCATGTTCGGAAAGTGGAAGAAGCAGCCAAAGTGACAGGCAAAGCAGATCCAGCCTTTGGCCTGGAGAGCAGTGGCATTGCAGGGACCACCTCTGATGAGCCTGAGCGGATTGGTAAGGCCCAGCAAGTGGCTCATTCCTCTCCTCACCCGGGGCCTGGCTCCGCTGTGCCATCCCTGCTCAGAGCTCCCCTCAGCGCAACGGGAATGGGGGGCATTGGTGGGTCCTTATTTCCCCACAGCTTTACCTAGGGACTGTGGTCCCCAGCTGGCCCTCTCACTGAGATGCTCTAGGAGGAGAGGCAGTGGGGAAGGTGTCGTAGAGACAGACTCTGTATCAGGCGTTCCCCATTTCCTCTTCCCACGGGCCCAGAGGAGAGTGGGACTGAAGAGGCGCGGGCAGAGGGCCAGGCCACGGAGGAGAAGAAGGAGCCCAAGGTACAGTGGCGCGCCCCGGGGCCGGGCGGGTGGGGGCCAGGCGCGGGGAGCTGGCGTGGTTGGCCTGCCCGCTGGAGCCAGATGGCCCCCGAGGAAGAGCCGGCCACCCTGACCTTCCCTGATCTTCTTCCACTGGGACTTCAGGAGCCCCGAGAAGGAGTTGGGGCTGGCGAGGAAGAAGCAAAGGAAAAAGCCAGCGAGGCGCCCAAGAAGGATGAGGAGAAGGGGAAGGAGGGCGACAGTGAGAAGGAGTCAGAGAGGAGCGAGGGGGACCCGGCAGGTGAGCCTCCCGCCACAGCGCCGGCTCCAGGCGCAGGCCTGAGGATAACGCGGCCCTTTCTTGGCCCAGGTGACGCTGAGAAAGAGAAGGAGCCGAAGGACGGGCAGGAGGAAGTGCTGAAGGAAGTGGTGGAGTCGGAGGGAGAAAGGAAGACGAAGGTGGAGCGCGACATCGGGGAGGGCAATCTCTCCACTGCCGCCGCCGCCGCCCTGGCTGCCGCCGCCGTGAAGGCCAAGGTGATGCCGGCCCAGAAGCCCCCCGGGAAGGGGCTGCGCTGTCCCTGGCTCCCTCACCCGGAGCGCTTCCTCCCCCCTGACGCAGCACTGGCCTCTTGCGTTGGTTTCGGTCCCGAGTTGGTCTCTTTTCTAAGCTTTTTCCGGCTTTTGCCACTGAGCCTGTTTTCTCCCCTCTAATTACTTGAGCGTCTTACCCTTCGCCGCCCTCTGTTTCTCTGCGTTCTTTAAAAAATTTCCTTCTTTACTACTCTCTCGCTCTGGGTTGTGACCACAGCAAGTTTTTCATAAAACCTGCCTGCCTTCCCCTCCCTGGGGAATGTCTTCAGTGGTGTCCCCACAATCACAAGCTGCCCCCCACTCACGTGCGTTCCTCCCCACTCACGTGCTGTTCCCTCCCACTCACGAGCTGTCCCGCCTGCCTTTCCTAGCACTTGGCTGCTGTTGAGGAGAGGAAGATCAAGTCCCTGGTGGCCCTGCTGGTGGAGACCCAGATGAAAAAGTTGGAGATCAAACTCCGGCACTTTGAGGAGTTGGAGACGATCATGGACCGGGAGCGAGAAGCAGTGAGTGGCCTCTCCCGCAGGTCTGTGGTGCCCAGGGAGCCCACCGTGACACCAGGGAGTGTCTCGGTTAGGAGGGTGACGTGGCAGCATAGAAATTCAAGACTGATGGAATGTCAGTAGCCCAGGAAGTAGCCCAGGGCAGGGGTCAGCCTCAGGTGTTATCAAGGATGCTGCCTAGATGAGCCTAGGCACTGAGGCCCACAGGGGCTTGGCTCCATACAGTGGATATTAGCCTGCGTTTGTTATTGTTGCATCTTCAGGGCTTTGACCAGTGCTTGTTAATTAATATTTATTTATTTATTCTAAAAAGATTTGTTTGTTTGTTTGTTTGTTTATTTATTTATTTGTACAAGAACCGGGGTACAGGCCAGATGCACGGGAGGGTGAGAGGATTCACCAGAGACAGAGCAGGGAACAGAACAGGCAGACCGACGAAATACACTGCTGAGGGGAGCAGCGGGCCAGACAGGAGAGGTCTGCCTGCCATGTGGGACCCAGACCGGCCAGTGGGCCGGGATCGAACCCGTGCTGCAGAGGCTGCGGACAACTTCACAGCGCTGCACTCAACCGCCTGCACTACCAGGGGAGGCCCAATGGATATTTATTATTAATTTATTTAATATTAAGTCAGTGCATATCTGTTGAGTGATTGTGTAAGTTAAGGGGTGAGGAAATAGGTTAAGGGCAGGCCTCAGCTTCAGAGATAGACAGAGCATTGAACGATTTTAGTCTTTGAGAAAATCTAAAAGAAGTAGAAGACAGACAGAGACCCCCTATAGCAGCAGGACGGGCACGGAGCAGGATCTCCATGACTCTAGTAGATGGGGCAAAGGAGAGGAGTCCTAGGAGCCCTTGGTGGCTTTTTCAGCCTCCTAGTGAGTTTACCAGGTACACGGCAGGCAGGGGTGCCAGGGGGCTGGGAGGCTGGCAGGCCTCCCAGCCAGTCTTCACTTCCTGGGCTCTCTGGCCTTCTCTCATGGTCTCGTTTTCTCTCTTCTGCTCTCATTCTCTCTGCTCGCCTGGTGTCTCCATGACGCTGCCCTTTTAAGCTCGGTCTCTCAGCCCAGGTGTACCCACCTACACGTGCCCATACCTCACTTCAGGTGCCCACTATCAGGCATGCATTCAGGACAGCAGGGATCCATCATCAATTGTAATGGCGGGAGGGCAGAAAAGCCTGTTATTTTTTTACCTTACCCTACACCTGCTTTCAGCAAATTTAGTTTAATTGGAGACATCAAAAATATAACATTGAGGGCCTCCCCGGTGGCGCAGCGGTTGAGCGCTGGGTTGCGAAGCTGCCCGCGGCCTCTGCGGCGCCGGTTCGATCCCCGGCTGCTCCCCGGCCACCGGAGGAGGGTCCCACATGGCGTGCAGACCTCTCCTGCCGCCCGCTGCTCCCCTCAGCAGTGTACTTCGGTCCTTCTGCCTGCTCTGCTCCCCGCTCTGGCTCTGGTGAATTCTCTCACCCTCCCGCGCTTCTGACTGTACCCAGTGCATGTATAAACAAAACAAACAAACCAGCAAACAAATAAATAAAGCATGCCTCTATAAAAAAAAAAAAAAAAAAAATATAACATTGAAACAGTTTGTTTAAAGTGTCTGACAAATTCAAATATAGAGTTTTCCAATCAAGAATGTAAGTCTTGGGGCCTCCCTGGTGGTGCAAGGGGTTAAGCACTGCACTATGGAGCAATCCACAGCCTCTGCAGCACGAGTTCGATCCCCAGCCAGCCAGGGAGCAACTCACATGGCGCAACAGACCTCTCCTGACTTGCCCGCTGCTCCCTTCAGCAGTGTATTTCAGTCAGTCTGCCTGTTCTGTTCCCCACTCTGTCTCTGGTGAATCCATTCAGCCCCTGTATCTCTGTCCTGTACCCCAGCTCTTGTATGCATAAATAAATAAATCTTAAAAAAAATAATAGGGCCTCCCCGGTGGCGCAGCAGTTGAGTGCTGGGTTGTGAAACTGCCTGCAGCCTCTGCAGCGCCGGTTCGATCCCCGGCTGCCGGGTGAGGGTCCCACATGGCACACAGACCTCTCCTGCCGCCTGCTATTCCCCTCAGCAGTGTACTTTGTTTTTATTTTTTATTTATTTTTTTAAGAGGCATGTATTTTTATTTATTTATGATTTTTATTTACTTGTTGTTTTGTTTATAAATGTACTGGGTACAGTAAGAAGTGCGGGAGGGTGAGAGAATTCACCAGAGCCAGAGCGGGGAGCAGAGCAGGCAGAAGGACCGAAGCACACTGCTGAGGGGAGCAGCGGGCGGCAGGAGAGGTCTGCGCGCCATGTGGGGACCCCTCCTCTGGTGGCTGGGGGAGCAACCGGGGATCGAACCGGCGCCACAGAGGCCGTGGGCAGCTTCGCAACCCAGTGCTCAACCGCTGCGCCACCGGGGAGGCCCTCAGCAGTGTACTTTGTCAGTCTGCCTGCTCTGCTCCCCGCTCTGACTCTGGTGAATTCTCTCGCCCTCCTGCGCTTCTGACTGTACCCAGTGCATGTATAAATAGATAAAATAAATCTTAAAAATAAATAAATAAATAAATCAAGACTTGAGCGACAGAAGAATAAATCTCAGGCTAGTGAGTTAATCTGGAATGGCTTCCTAAGAATGATGAGTTTTTAGCTAATTTTGTAAGAAGAAAATAACACAAATTGACAAGACAGGTTTTCCAGATCAAAGTAATAACAAGCTCAAAGCCACGGAGTTTAACTACCTCAGACAAACCCACTGTAGCCAGAAGCCCTTGGGCAGCCAGAGGACGCAGTGGTGGGAATTTACCAAGAGTAGGTAGAGGAAACCCAAGCACAAGATTTACAATACAGGAGCTGGGGTGCAGGCCAGAGGTGGTGGGGGCGGGATGAGAGGAGTCACCAGAGACAGAGTGGGGAGCAGAATAGGCAGATCTACTGAAATCCACTGCTGAGGGGAGCAGCGGGGAGACAGGAGAGGTCTGCCTCACTATGTGGGTAGCTCCCTTGCCGGGGATCGAACTCATGCAGCAGTGGCTGCTGATAGCTTCATAGTACTGAGACTTGACTCCTTGCACCACCAAGGAGACCCAAGACTTAGATTTGATGTGGGGAACCATCAGAATGAGAGGCTGGCTTTGTTGGAAGACAGAGCAGGGAGGGGCGAGGCATTTTCCTTTGGAGGTCTTCTGAACTTGAGTAACAGTGCTCCCTTGGCTCTGCTGGCAGCTGGAGTACCAGAGGCAGCAGCTCCTGGCAGACAGACAGGCCTTCCACATGGAGCAGCTGAAATATGCTGAGATGCGGGCCCGGCAGCAGCACTTCCAGCAAATGCACCAACAGCAGCAGCAGCCGCCGCAAGCCCTGCCCCCGGGCTCCCAGCCGATCCCACCCACGGGAGCTGCTGGGCCACCCCCAGTCCACAGCCTGGCTATGGCTCCCGCCTCTGTAGCCCCTGCGCCTGCTGGCAGTGGGGCCCCGCCTGGAAGCTTGGGCCCTTCTGAACAGATAGGGCAGGCAGGATCAACGGCAGTGCCACAGCAACAGCAGCCAGCTGGAGCCCCCCAGCCTGGGGCAATCCCACCAGGGGTACCCCCCCTGGACCCCATGGTAAGTGGCGGTTTTGGAACTGTTCACAGCAGGGATCCGGGTGGGTGCTCTCGTCCCCTTCAATGGGGAGATGTGCTCGAACTGGAAACAGTCTCTGCAGACAGACCCATCTCTGTTCCAGCCCTAATCCTAAGCCCCGAGTAGGGGCCCGGCCCACACCTTGCTCTTGGGAACGTTGTCCCAAAGATTTCCCACTTCCTGCCGTGCCAGGAGATGGGAAGGTGGTGCCAGAGCAACTGGGTCACGCCCGCCGTGAAGGGCAGTTGGTCGACGAGCTCTTGTGCCCTAACCTCCTGGGTTTCTCTTTGTTCCCAGGCCCCTCACCGTTCCCCAACCAACAAACTCCTCCCTCCATGATGCCGGGGGCAGTGCCAGGCAGCGGGCACCCAGGCATGGCGGGTAATGCTCCTTTGGGTTTGCCGTTCGGCATGCCGCCTCCTCCTCCCTGCTCCATCCGTCATCCCATTCGGTAGTCTAGCCGACTCCATCGGTATTAACCTCCCCCCTCCTCCTAACCTGCATGGGCATCACCACCATCTCCCGTTTGGCCCGGGCACCCTCCCCCCACCTAACCTGCCTGTGTCCATGGCGAACCCTCTACATCCTAACCTGCCGGCGACCACCACCATGCCATCTTCCTTGCCTCTCGGGCCGGGGCTCGGATCCGCCGCAGCCCAGAGCCCTGCCATTGTGGCAGCTGTTCAGGGCAACCTCCTGCCCAGTGCCAGCCCGCTGCCAGGTGAGAAGGGTCCTGGAGGGGAGAAGGGTGAGGGAGAGGGTCCACACGGAGGGATGGAAGGCAGGTGGGGAACAGGTCAAGTACTAGAGCTCCCACAATCCTTTGTGAACTCTGTGATAAAATTAGAATACAGGAGGAAGGGCCTCTCTGGCTGTCCTCCGCCATCCCCAGCCTGGCAGCTGCCACCTCTGGGATGACGTTGGGGCCTCTCACTGGTGGGTCACGGAGGAGTCCTGTGGCACAGAGCATCTCAGTTGTAAACTTGGAACTAGCTGCCTGTTTGCATGATGATTGGCCTCCCCCTGCTTGTTCCCATCGTGTTCAGATGCCCCATTTAGAGTTCCCTTGGGGGCAGGAGGATGATTTGGGGCATCAGTTTCCCAGTGTGAGGTGGAAGAGGGTGTTGGAAGTTATGGGTACCTCATTCATCTGCCCATCCATTGCATGCCACGCCCGTTCTGTTTGTCCGTGGAGGCCTGGGTCTGGAGCCCTCGCCTGTGACACTCACTCATCTTCCTTTTCTCCTCAGACCCAGGCACCCCCCTGCCTCCAGACCCCACGGCCCCAAGCCCAGGCACGGTCACCCCCGTGCCACCTCCGCAGTGAGGAGCCAGCCAGACAACTCTCCCTGACCCCCATGGAAATCAAGGTTCCAGGAACAGCCCTCCCCCACCACGGGGACCCTTCCCCGCCTGGAGAGTTCATCACTACGTAAGGAACGCTCCTCTGCCCCTCCACAGCCCCCGCTCTGCCCGTGAGAGGCACGCGTTTTTATATCGGATGATCCAAGGACTTCTGTTTAAAAGATGTTTCTAATAATGTCTGGGAGAGAGAGGATAGGATGGGGGTGCCGCCCTCCAAGGTAGGGCCGGGGAGGGTGTTTATACAAGGCTCTAACTAACCACTTCTAGGGTGCACCCCCTCGAAACTACTGCTTTTTTATGGGTAAAGTAAATTAAGCCCCTCAAAGGAAGCAGACACAAAAAAGCCACATGGAGCGCTCTCCACCCACTAAAATATCCTTTTACATTGTTTTGAGGAGGGAAGTGAGTTTTAGGAAGGGGGGAGTTAGGGTTCGGGGATAGAATAGGGTGCAGACTCTGTCTCCTGCGGTCCCTTGTTAGTGACTGAGTCAATTTCTGAAGCCCTCCCCCAACCACCACCCGACCCATTTATTCCTACTAATCTCTCCCGCTGCTTCCTCCGTGTTGCCACGTAGGCCTCCCAGCTCAGCCAATGACACACACACACACACACACACACACACACACACCCCTGCCCTCTGAGTGTCATTTTTGTGTTTTTAAAAGCCACCTGCATAGTTGATGGCAACGTATGTGTATTTGGTGGGGAAGTGTATTTCGGGGGGTTCCTGTGGTAGGTGAGCGAGGAAGAGGAAGAGAAGGTACCGGGCTGTTCTTCCTCCCTCCCTGGGCTCAGTGGGCGCCTGGAAGGCTGGAGCGGGGAGCTGTGAGAGGGTGGGGAGTTGTAAAAACCTGACATTTTCAAAAGCACTTAAGCACCTCCTCCTTAGGACTTGGTGGGCCACCCCCTCTGGCCTCTCCCCTCCTCCACCAAGGCCGGCAGAACCTTGACTGGTAGCCAGGGCTCCCCTGGGTGAGGACACAGGGGCCTGGGAGCAGCGGGGAGGCGCGCCTAGCCCAGGGTAGTGCGGACCTCAGCTTGCAGAGGGCCCCGGCCCGGATCCCAGAGCCTCCGCACCAGCTCTGCCTCTTGATCCTTGAAGCCCAGGCACACACACCCGCCCCCAGGCACCGCAGTGCTTCTCCGTCCCCCACCAGGCCCTTCCTCCCTCACGTCCGTTTCTCTTCCTCTGCGTCTTGGCACCTTTCTTCTGTTCAAGTTTCTGTAAATTTTCTTTTTCTTCCCCCCCCCCTTTTTTTTTATAAATTAATTTGCTTTCAGTTCCATCTTGTGGATGCCTTCTGTGTTCTCTTACCTGTGGCTAACAGCAGAGGGATTGGGCTGGGGGCAGCGCTCCGGAGAGTCCTTCAGGGGGTTCGCATGGGCCTAGACTCGGGCCTCAGTCCGCAGCAGGCTGCCCGCAGCACAGCTGTCGACGCTGGGATGGGGCAGAGGCTCTCACTTGGCCCAAAAATAGCTGTTACAGACTCAGAAGGATCTGCACAACCTGGGGAGTTTGTATATTTACCCTTTCAGAAGCAGTGGCTTCATTCCTTCCCTTATTAGGCAGGGAGAAGGCAGGCACCACTCACTGTTCTTGCTGGTCCCCAACCCTGCTGGGGGCAGGCTCAGGCGGTGCTAATGGAGCCTGGCTTTTAGTGCCAATAAACAATGTCAGCTTCCCACCACGAAAGGCCTTGAGTGGCTGGGGAATGAGAGGTAGGAGAGGCCTTAGCCTCTCCTAAGGATGGAACAAGGAGGAAATCAGATGGTAGGAGAGGGCAGTGCCAGGCCTTGGGTCCTGCAGGAATTCGTGGCTCCCCTAAGCCCCCAAGACGTACCCCTTTGTATAGCATCAGTGATGGGGCCAGTACTTCTCCAATGAGGCAAAGGTGGCCCCTGGAGGCCCTTCCCCACTCTCCCCACCCCCTGGTTCATTTGACCCTGGTCTGTCTCACCTTCAGCCCCTTCACCCTGCTCAGAAAGGAAAGCAGCACTGAACTGAAGGGCATAGAAAAGACAGTTTATTTGGTGAATGCTGACAGCAGACATCATCCGAGAGACAAGCTGGGGAAGGTGCCGTGACTAGCCGTGACTAGAGCCTAGGGAGCCTCTGGGGCCTCACAGGGGATGCAGTCTCACAGGGAACACTCTGGGCATACTGGGAATGTTCTTAGCCATTCAGCACCATGCGGACGAGCTCTGTGGAAAGGAGAGAGGGGTGAACCAGGGAGCAGGACCACGGGGAGGGTCCACCAGGGGCCAGGAGACCACAGACCACAAAGGTAGCCTAAGGAACTCGCCTACACAGCCAACCTTGAGGTTGGTTTGCTGGAGCCACCTTGAGTCTGACCAGCTCTCTGCCCCTAGCTTCCCTCCCGCCAGCTGTTAGTCCCCCCCCCACCACCACCCCGCCCCGCCTTGAGCAGCAGGAACACAGCAGAGGCAGAGAAGTTTTCAACTACACCTATAGCTACTGTCAGCCGCTGGCAGGAGAAGACGGGGTTTTGGGTTACGGTACCTCCAAGCTGCCCAGCAGAAGGAAGGGGAAAAGATTTCAGCTACAGCAGCAGAGTAGGCACAACCCACCCTCCTGTGCCAACCATGCTCTGGGCCAGGGGACCGCCCCGAAAGCAAGATGGGTACTCGCCTGTCCCCGGACACCAGCACCAGGTCCTCTCAGAGCCCGTTTTTAGTAGAGGAGGTACCATACCCCCAGGCCGCCTTCCTCTTGGAGCCCCCCACCCTCCACCCCAGTCAGCTCCATGCAGAAACATGCCGGAGGAAGTCAGATGGTAGTAGGGGAGGGCAGGGCTAGAGAGCAAAGGCTGGGAAGAACACCGGGGAGGCCAACTAGAGAAGGGGAGGCTGGGAGGAGCCGTACCCGCCCCACAGGCCAGTCACCCCGACAGGATATGCCTCACAAACGCTGCAGGAAGGAAGAGACATTGATGGTGAAGACAAGACACAATGGGGTGAAGGGGTCAGGTGGTGGGAAGACAGACATTCCACTTACTCCCATTCCCCACCCTCCGCGCACACATCACCCTTTCCTGCCTCACCCCCACCCACCGCCCGCTCCCTGGGCTGCGCTGGGCCCTGCCCCTTGCCCCCTAGCACTTTTTGGAGCCCAAGCTGGGGGGCAAGGAAACCCCAAAATACTGCGCTTGGCCCGCCTCCTATGGCTGCCTTCTCCGCAGAAGCCCTGCTCATCCCTCACCTTCATAGTTGATACAACCATTGCTGTCCTCGTGCCCTGCCACCAGCATCTCCACTTCCTCCTCTGTCATCTTCTCGCCTGCAGAGGGAAAGGAAGCACTAAGCATTTTTTGGGATCGGGTGGCCAATGAGGTGTATCAGGTGGCACCTAAGCTCACTTTACCCAGTGTGACAAGAACATGGCGGATTTCAGCACCCATGACCGTGCCGTTCCCTTCTTTGTCGAACACCCGAAGGCCTTCCACGTAGTCTTCATAGGTGCCCTGGTCCTTGTTCTTGGCCACTGTCTGCAGCATGGGCAGGAAGTGCTCAAAGTCCAGCACCTTCACATTCATCTCTGCCATGGAGGAGGAGGGAAAAAAATCCCAGGCGTGAGGGGATCACAGGGGTCACCAAGCCAGTTTCCACACGCAGCGGGGGAAATCTGGGGAACTGGCTAGTTAAGAAGGGACCTGGTTTGGTTTGCGACCTAAGAACATAAAGGGAAGCTTTTAGCTTAAAAACGCTAGGCCCATTCCCACTGAGGAGGTGCCCTTGAGGATCCTCACCATCACTCTTGGGGTTCCCCAGAACCTTGAGCACCTCGGCGTTGGTGGGGTTCTGGCCCAGGGCCCTCATGACATCCCCACACTGGCTGTACAGGATCTTGCCATCCCCTGTTCGGTCAAACAGCTGGAAGGCCTCCTTGAACTCTGAGGAGTCAGAGAAACATCAGCGCCTGGAGTTCAGAGTAACCCAAGCCCCGCCGCAGCCCTACTGCCACCTGACTTGGATCGGCTGAGGAAACCAGGTATCTGTACGCTGTACACCCAAGTCCATAAGAGGGATCGGTGCCCCTCCACACTCAGGTGTCCCAGGGAAAGGCAAAGCCTGCCTCCCCCACGCTGGCGGGGTACACACCCCCTCTGCCCGCTGCAAGCCTGCCCAGCCTCCCGCACTACTCGGGCAGGAATTTGCCACCGCCCAGTCCGGGCCTTGTCCTTATAAGGAAGTGGGAGCCGCGGCCTGCGCCTGGGGTCACTGCAGCCTGCCACCTCGCCCCCTTTATGTGCAGAAAAAGACTTTTCCGAGGCCACAGCTACAAAGACGTGTCCTCAGCAATCTGCCTGTCCCCATTTTCCCAAAACAGCTGCTCGCTGCTCTTAACAAGCTTCACAGTTCCAGGCTGGGGGGGGGGGCGCGCAGCTGGAGAGCAAAGGCAGGAGGAGCTGAAGAAGGGTCAGGCGCAGGCAGCTTAGTGCACAGCAGGCGTCAGGGGAGCGAGTTGTCACACACACACTCACACCCCTCAACTCACCAGTGCGGGGGGCCCAGATCTAGAGTGGAGAGGGAGGGTGGGAAGAACGTAAGAAAAGAAAACGGAAGATCCAGGAGGAGGGAGCAGGGCCCCCAGGGGTGCTCCCCTGGGGTGCGTAAGAGACGGCAGGAAGGCGTCAGGGAATAGGTGCGGGGGGGGGGGCTCTCCCTAAGCAGGGCCTCAGGGGGCGGGGATCGCCTACCTGCGGTCTGGTCCTCGGTGAAGTCGCACTGCCCAGAGAAGAGGGGCGGTCAGCGCGCGCGCCCACCCCAAGCGTCGCCCCCAGCCCCGCCAGCCCCGCTCCGTGCGGCGGACGCTTCCCCGCGGGGCGGGACGTCAGACTTCCGAGCCCCCGGCCCCCCGTCCAGGCCCAGGGTCGCCTCTGCCCTCCTCTGCCGTCTCCTCACCCCCACCCGCTCTGCCCGCGCCTCCTCCCGGGGCCCGGCTCCCACCATGTTGGCCGCTCCGCTCCGCGAGACCTTCCCCTGCAGAAATGGCTCCGAC